TAAATAACCTTTGCATTGACGCATAACTAATATTGTTGTCTCGGGCAACCCCCGACAAGAAACTATAGGCACTTCCTGGACTTGCAATAGCACATTCAGGGCAACATCTTCAGCAGTGGCAGATTTTGGTTGTCCGCTTCTAGTCATGCTTCCGGTTTCAGATTTTTTTTTAGAATTTTGCTTACGCATGATTGTGTCAAAGGCTCCTTTTCCAGATACGTGGCATTAAATAATGCACATACTTCTTGCTAAGTCCTTTTTCACCATACCCAACCATCATTAAAATTTCAATTCTTCATTTTCCAGTAGGAATTGTTTTTTAAAACGGTAGCTATTTATTTTACTATAAGCACACTATTACATGTGAAAATTGCACTGAATGTCGTATTCAAAATCTTTTATACAAATTTAATTTTTTTTAACGTTTAACGCTCAACCACCTGATATTCCTATATCGGTTCAATATTATTACACCGTTGTAATCAGAAAAATGGCCTCTTTCAAATTCTGATATAAAAAAGGGAGTTGTAATTTGAAAATATTACCGTAAAATTTAAAATGAACTACTAAACAACTTTTATTAAATTCATTTTTTAATATTTTCTATTATTTCATAATTTAACAATCGTCATACACCTAACACAAAAATGTTTGGACAGTTAACATTTTCTTAGTATTTCTGAAATATTTAATTTAACAGTAGATATAATGATATAGTTTTTTTAAAGTTTTTTTATTTGTTGGTTTATTATAAACCATACTGAAACCAAAATTATAGAATATAAATTGTAATATCGTATCATTTTGTTAACACATAAAAGACCGGACATTTATGTTATTCAGGTTTTAAAAACTGCAGATGGCCATTTAAGGCATATTATTTTAAAGATTGTTTTACACATAATCAAGTAGGTCCTAATTATTTAATTTGACAGTTCTAAAGTTAGTGAAATGACGCGTGGGCTCGCAACATATAAACTGTAAGTGCTTGTTCACAATGGACGTAACCATAAAAAAAACATAAGAAATACATAAAAAAAATACATAAAGATACATAAGAAGCGTTCACAATGTGCATAGTACGTAATCTTTACGTTTATGTGACTCTTATGTAAAAATTATGGAGTACCGTAAAAATCACATAAAGTTCAAATAATTTAACTTTATGAAATATTTATGTAATTTTTTGTGGAAAATTCGGTGACTTTTGGTTTGTTATGTTTTTATATTGGCAACTCTTGCGGTTCCTATAACCATTTGCTATGGAAAAGGTTGAGTCACCGGTAGACAAATACCTAAGATAAAACCAAATTATTATTTTAGTTTTTTATTATAATAAAAGTAGGCACAAGACACCCAAAATAACATAAATTCAAACATCCCGAAAAGACATTGAACTATTCAAATCCATTTTAGACTAACTTCTTTTTTTTCTTTTTTTACCATTCTATACCAAAATTAAAAAGCATTACCATTGCCATTATTATTGTTTAATATCAATTTAAAATTAAGCACATGCTATGTTTAATCAATTTAGGGGACACTAGTTTTAGTAATTCCTCAAATAATGAGGCTGTCATTCTAGTATAAGTAAAAAACCATTCAGTGTCATGAAGTCGCATTTCAATAATTAGTCTTCGAAATCCTTTTTTCTCTATCTCTATTTATAGGACGAACCCACCAGCGTCTTGTTCGTTTTGGTTTTACCCTATCTTGGCGTTCTTGGCATCGTCGTCTTAGTAGTGACAATAATAACAATTCTTCAGTCTCACTCATTTTAAAAACACAATTCACAAATTTTAATTCAAATTAAATTAAAATGACATTAGTTTGACATGCTCAACATGTCAATTTTTATGGTCATTGTGAACGCTCTTTGGATTTTATGTAAATTTTATGGTTATGATTTATGATTTCATTATGTATCTTTTATGGTTATGTCCATTGTGAATCCACACTAAGAGAATCAATTGTAAAATTATTCCATGGTGGAAAATCTTTCCGCGACATTGCAAAAGAAATAAATTTACGGTTGCCGACATTATAAAAAAGTTTGGGAGAGACCGCATCTGTTGACGTAGTCGGAAAGAGCACTGGTCGTCCACGTAAAATAAGTCCAAGAATGCAAAGATCGCTCGTTCGAATGTAAATCTGGACGTAGAAACACAGTTCGGGACATAACAGCCAAATGGAACGAAGAAATAAATGTTAATGTATCCCGCGAAACATGTCGGGGATGGATACATAAATCTAACTTACATTTTTATAAGGTATGTTAAGCTACAAAAAGTTTAAAAATATGCTTTAAATTCGTAAAATTTTAAACTAAAGAAAAGCCGTTGCTCACGGAAAAACAAAAGAAAAATCGTTTAAGTTGGGCAAAGGAAAGAGAATTTTGGGCATTTGACGAATGGAAAAAAATAATATTCAGTGATGAATCGAGATTTGATCTGTCGGTGATTGCCGCAAGAGAGTCATTAGAACAAAAACTGAAGCATTCCATAAAGACTGCTTAAAACGGACAATTAAGTTTCCTGCTGATGTAATGGTTTGGCGCAATATGTCAGCTTATGGTTTAGGAAGTTTGCCTTTTATCGATGGAACCGTAAATGCACAAAAATGACAATTCTTAACGATTGCTTGTTGCCTTCACTTTCGATTTTATTGCCGACAGGAAATTTTATATTTCAACATTACAGAGCAACTTGTCATAAGGCCAAAACAACTAAAAAATGGTTGGAAGATCATAATATTACCCTTCTCGATTGGCCTTCAAGCAGTCCTGATCTTAATATCATTGAGACAGTGTGGCATAAAATGAAGCAACAATTGAAAAATGATCCACAATGAAATGTTGCTGATTTGCGGCAAAAGTTGAAGAGCATATGGGATTCTTTCACTCCAGAGCAATGCGAAGCTCTAACTAAAACGATGCCTGCACGAATAAAGGCCGTTATTAAGTCTAAAGGTGACGCAACGCCCTATTAAAATGATTTGTCCGAATATTTATGTGTCAACAAAATACTACAATATTATAATGTTTTGTAAATTTATGACAATCTAGTTTTTTTCCTTGAATTAAAAAATAATATCTTAATAATGTGTTTTCTAATTAAAAATGTTTTAATAATGTGTTTGCTTATTTAAAACACATTTACATTGTGTTAAGTAAATATATTTGTGTTAGGGCTCGAACTGTAGTGATAAATACAATTATATTTACTTAAATACAATATATACAATTATTACTAACAGTCATAATTAAAATAAACTAAAAAAACAAGTTCATTTTCATTCATGAATTTACTTGAGGTAGATTCACCTCTCCATTGGCTCTTGTAGAATTAGGAACTTGGAACATACTTGTTTGTTATTCATTAATACTTCTCACAGATCTAATCCTAAACAAGTTATAGATGTCAGCTGTTGAGTATCTTTTATCTAAAGAATATAAATTTTGAATGGCTTTATTTTGGAGTGATTTAAGTGGTTTAAGAATACAGTTAGCTAGCTGCATTTGACCAAATAAGATTCGTTTTGTAGGTGAGATTAGATCAAGGAAAAGTAAATCAACCTCAAGTACTTCCAGGGTACAGTATACATTCTCCTAAGTACACCAATCGGACCGGCCACCTTTCCACACACATAACTGACATGATCTTTCCAGGAAAGCCTTTTATCGATTTTTAGGCCCAGGAACTTTGTATCCGTAACCCGTTTCAACTCGAAAGCATTATTAACACACAGTTCTCTTTGGTTTTTATAAATATACATATAAGATGACTTCTCCATGTTCACGGACAATTTATGGAAGTTAATCCAACATGTGTTACTAAGTTGTTCATATTATATATATATATATATATATATATATATATATATATATATTAGGGTGTCCCTTATTTTTATTTTTTTTACGCATACCCTCTAATTATATTTATTACGTGTTTATATACTCCCAGTAAAAATTTCAGCTCATTCTATAAACGGGAACCCGTGCCGACTTGCATCTGAAGTTCAGATTCTGAACCCTCCGTTAGCCAACACGGTTGGTCGCGAGGTCTTCGATCGTAAGTCATTTTGTGTTTGTTATTATGTGACCCTTATATTATAAATTATTGACAAATGTTAAAATATAGTTTTATTTATGTGTATACTTTGATAAAAATGTATATTTTCACAGGGAGTGACTAGTTACCCGGAAGGGTATGGTGAATAGGCCGTAAACTCTGAAATTGATAAACTTAATGGGTTTTACTCTAAATAACTAAAAGAGTCTATTGTGAGAGATGACTACCGAAAACTTATTGAACTGTCTGAAATATTTTTGTGAGGACATCAAGAAAAGAAATGCTTATAAAAAGCTGAAATTTCATATAACAGTATATTTTAGCAATACTAATTAGTATATTAATATATTTAAGGGATAAAATCAACTAAATTAGTGAAACAAATGATAGAAACAAAAGCAATAATATTAATTAGTAATCATATTTAATAAAATCATTAGAAAAATACAGTCATGAAGTATATCTTCTTTTTAAAGTGTTTCGTGTTACAAAATACCGCGCGCGCCTAACGTTGGCTAACGGAGGGTTTAAATGCAAGTCGGCACGGGTTCCCGTTTATAGAATGAGCTGAAATTTTTACTGGGAGTATATAAACAAGTAATAAATATAATTAGAGGGTATGCGTAAAAAAAATAAAAATAAGGGACACCCTAATATATATACAACCCATTTGGTATTGGTATTTTTAGGAAGAACGGTAGGATTTTGACCTTGAAAGACAAAGATAGCAATATAAAGTGTAAGGATGGGTAAATTATTCTCGTGCAATATTTTCCCCTTCTCATTCTTTCTCTTCTCATACAATTTCACTTAGACTCTTACTCCTTGTTCTTGCAATATTTTCTCGTAATATTTATTTGTAATACATTGTATTCTTATAAAATTTCGTAAAACGCACCGTCATTTGTAAAATAAAAATACTATACTTACTGTTCCTCTTCTAAGTGCCAACTGAATATTTTCTAAATCAAGTACTGGTACCCAACATTCAGCAATAAGGCATTTTTGAGTAACATCCAAATTAAACAAGTTCAGTGTATGATAAATAGCTTTGATTTTTCTGACTTTAATAAACCAATTTTTAATGTTTTTAGCGGCCGCGACTAATACCCTATGACGATGATCCTGAGTCTGACCTAACACCTAAAAATAAGAATTAATTTATATTAGTTATTTATTATATTGTTTAATACTTACAGTATTCAGATCTTCAATACGGGTCATAACACCCATGGCCATTTCTCTTCTATCAGCTGGGGCTTCAGGACAAGGGTAAAGTGTGGCTCTGAATCCTTCACAAATTTTTTTAACTCTGGTTTTTAATTGATCACCTTGGAAGAAAATAATGAATACAGATTTATAAACCTGGTCTCCCTAAAAATTAACTATTGTTTTTAACGTTGATCTTTAATAAAAATAAAAATTGTTGTTACCGTTGAAGGGTCTTCCAATGGAGTTTCAATTTCTGCTTGACGCAGAAAAACGTTTCCGCGACATGCGCGCCATAACATTCTTTCAAAAGCAGGAATCCGTTCCCTAAGGATTACTCCAGCGACAAAACTGTTTAAATAAAAATAATAAATATAAATTTAATAGTTCACTTTATCCAGACCCATAGGATGTTTATGAATAAAAACCTCACTCTTCTAAAGGTTAACTGGATAAAGTTTATAATTTTTTTTAATAATGAAAACCTGTCGTTTTTACCAGCAACTATAAATTTTTGCATTTAATATTCATAAAAATATGTTTTTAATTTGTATAACGGTTAAAAGGAAATGTTGTGACTTCAGCAAAAGGCTAAAGTAAAAAATAAGGTTAGAAAATATAATATTAGATAGTATATTATATATATAATTTAAAAAAATTTTGTGTTGTCGGCCTAAGCCTTAATGAAATAGTCTTGAAATATAAATGACTGCCTTCATTGGGAAAACTACAAGACAAAAATACGCTGGTAAGTGCCAAAGATATAAAATCAACAATAGATTGATTGATTTACGAACGAATTCTATGATGGCTGGTTAAAATAATTAAAGAAATATCTGTGGATACATGCATTTGCCATGGTGCATGGTTGAAATGGTACTATAAAATGGAGTTCAAACAATAAAAAGTGTATTATATTAATCATGTGGAAAATAAACTGGTAAAAAATGTATTTATTTATTTATTTTTAATTATTTTTTATTTATTTTATTATTTTTATTTTTAATTATTATTTTTTTTATTTTTAAGAAGAATTATATGATGACTTGAAGTATAATGTAGCAGAATGTATGTGGAAAGATAAATAAATTTAAAAAAAACCTGAAGAAAAATCTTAAAATAAACTAAAAACATTAAGAAAATATTATATAAATGATTCAAGGAATGAGTTGAACTTATATTCTTTTGATTAAGACCTTTGATCATATTAAAAAATTTTGAAACATAATGAGCTGGCTAAATAAGCTAAACGCGTTTACCCCTGAACACAGTGCCCTTTGTTCAGATTTATGAAGAAGTATTAATTAAAAATAAAAATATATTTACGTTAAACAGTGATATTAATTAATCATGCAAAACATACAAGTTTCAGAAAACAAGTGCTATGGAAAGATCACCCATAAATAATTTACCATCATGCATGTTTTAATTTAATTAAATATATAAATTATTTTTTTAAACCCATTTTAATAAAATTGTAATTTAAAATGTTTTTAAGATTGGACATATACAGGGTGGTCCAGGATTAATCTGAAAAATTTTATTGGTCGATAGAGCCTGAAAAATCAATAAAAACAAACCCAAAAACATTTTTTTTAAATGCATACTAACGGAGATATAGTCCTTTAAAATAATTTTTAAACCATTAAACCGATTCTTCTAAAATTTTGTGTAGGTTATAAGCTTCCGTCGATAATATAATGAAAATTTCCCACAAAAGGCCCAGTGGCGAAGATTTTGGGGGGATTCCCCTTTTTACCCTCATATTTTCGACGCCACTGAATTTTATTAGAAAATCATCAGATTTATTTGTATCTCAATGTAAAAGCAAAACTTTTATGTTAATTTTTTATCAGATCAGTGGTTTCGAAGATATTTCAGTTTAAAATTTTAAAAACACTGTGTACACGGAATTTTATCATAATATTTTATTTTATCTTATGAAAATTTAACACACAAGTTTTGCTTCTAAATTGAATAAGAAATCTGATGATTTTCCAATAAAATCCAGTGGTGTCGAAATATGGGGGTAAAAAGGGGTAACCCCCCCAAAATCTCCGCCGCTGGGCCTTTGGTAAAAAATTTTACCTACACAAAATTTGAGCAGAATCGGTTTAATGGTTTAAAAGTTATTTAAAAAAAAAACGTTTTTTTTTGCCTTTGAAGGGCTATTAGTGTGTTAGTGTGTATTTTTGAAAAATGTGTTTGGGTTTGTTTTTATTGTTTTTTCAGGCTCTATTGTTTATTAAAATTTTTCAGATTAATCCTGAACCACCCTGTATATATACTATACAAGTAAAGCCTAATATTATTTGGCAGAGCTAAAGAATAAATGATAAAATTTATAATGATTTTTTTTACTTACTTGTTCACTGATGTATTTGTATTAAGACAACTTTTAGTAAATACTATTGAATAAAAATACAACCTTGCCAAAAAATATGATTAAGGATACCTTACATTTATTGTAATAATTTTTACAGAAATATGAATAAAACATGTTAGTCCGGTCAATCTAGACATTCGAAGGTACATAAATTTACAACAAGCTGAAAATCAGTAAAATTGTTCAGAATATAATTATAAATAAAATTTTAAAGTTCCCCATCATTCCCCTGTATGGAAAATTTTTTATTCAAGGTCAAAGGTCAAAAAAATGATTTTTCGCGATTTTTAGCAAAACGGTAGGTTTTATCATAAAAATACATCAGGCAAAAATTGTAGATCATAAAATAATCTATAAAAAATGTAATATTACTTTTTTTCTACCAGCCACCGTTTTTGAGATATAACGATTCGAAAAGTTGTAAAAGTTATAATCGCCATAATATGCACACCTTTTCACGCCACCTATGAGGTAGTTTACTGGCCTTGACAATTCGTACATGCCAGAGAATAAAACAGTCCGACTTTTTTGCAACCACATTTAGCACTGCATCCCTTTTTGCAGTTGCAAAACATTGTGTTCAGCAGTTTCTCCGGCGCAGGTGGGAGTAAATTTTGAACTGGTTCTAATGTGTTGTTGACCAACTTCCAACCCCAGTCTGTAGGGTTTAGCTGATAACCAAGTCACACTTGAACTTGGTAATATACCTGAAAAAGATGTTGATGAGCAGCAACTGAGGTTGGAGGAAGACAAGCTAATTGAACTTGTTTTTTACTTTTAGAATTTTTAACGAAACATGCATATCGATAATTATCAAATCAGGTAGTTTTTTTAGGAGCTCCGTATATAGAAAGAAGAGATCGAATGCCATTGGTGATAACTTCTTGTCCCGAAGCACCTTTTCCTCGACTTGGCCGAAAAATCTCCGCTCGTTCGAAAGTTAAGCGAAGACAACAGAAAGTGCAAAATTTGACGGAAAAATCGAAAAAAGTGGACTTGGACTTGGGTCCTCGGATAGGTCTCGTGGGCAGAAAAAAGGATGCAAATTTTAACCTTCAACGGACTCCGAGCTACGGCGCGCCGCGGCGCTTAGAAAAAAAAGGATATACAGACAACGGAAAAAATAAATATTGAAAACTTTTCGAACAGCGTTCTTTTTTAATTTTTTTGGGGCGAGAGAAATTTTAGAAATTGGCCGAACGAAATACACGAATCGACGGGTAAAAGACAAAGTAAAAGATGAGCTTCATCGAATGAAAACTAATCGGCCAGAAGCCCGTTTAATTTTTGTTGAGTATTTAAAAAAGTTAACCAATTAAAATCCCCGAAATCAAATCGATAAGGTGGCATATGACAGGGACAAATGACAGGTGACAGATGTCAAGTTGACAGATGACAAGTGACAAATGACAGATAACACATATAAGGTAACAGAAGACGTGAGAAATACAAAATTCATCTTTAAAATTACTACCCAGTTTAGGTGGAGCGGTCCCTTAAGGGACTGGGTTTTATTTCACTTGATATTCTTATAGTTATAACTTATGTAGGTATACTTTATATTTTAAGTGTAAGTTAAAATGACCGATAGAAAAATATTTTAACATATATTACAACTCTAGAGATACGTGGCGTACTCATGCATATTATGACGATTACAACTTTTACAACTTTTCGAATCGTTATATCTCAGAAACGGTGGCTCGTAGGAAAAAAAGTAATAATACATTTTTTATAGATAATTTTATGATCTACAATTTTTGTTTGGGGTATTTTTATGATAAAACTTAACGTTTTGCTAAAAATCGCGAAAAACTCATTTTTTTAACCTTTGACCTTGAATAAAAAATTTTCCATACAGGGGAATGATGGGGAACTTTAAAATTATATTTATAATTATATTCTGAACAATTTTACTGATTTTCAGCTTGTTGTAAATTTATGTACCTTCACTGTTATTTTTTGGTCTAATTTGACCGGACTATGTCAGTAAGCTACATTTTTTAACGTATAATAATTTTAATATTATAACACTCAAGTCCATATAGAAATGTCAAAAAAATAGCTTATAAAACACGGCGCTGAAAGCTTATTATGTAATTGCCTCGCACACAATCTACTGTCTCGGCAGTGAAATGGTTACTTGGCTATAATATGGGCTTTCTCCGCCTCGTCTATAATGTACTATTTTTTGTCAATACATACAGGATAGCCACATTATTTTAAAACTAAATTTTCCTGATTTCTGCAGGTTACGTAGAAACCAATAAAACAATAAAATGGTATATGTATATTTGTACCGGGTTTTATTGGAATCAATTGATACCAATCGGTTTTAACTATGGTTTCGCGTAAAAATCGAACAAATTTTGGACATTTGTTTGCAAGTAATGCGAGAATTGAATATATTTTTTTAACTTTGTTTCTACATCTAAAAAAAAAATTCATCCATTGACCGCTGTGGTTTTTAAGCCTTAAGTGTTAAAATTTTCGATATTTTGTAATAGCATTTTTATTTAAATACTTATCGATTTGAAATTAAGATAAAATGTAGACCCAATATATCCACGTATTATTTTTTTTATATTTTAACATACAGGCGCTGGGGACAATTTAATTTAAAATTTTACCATTTTTAAGGGTTAAAAAATCGAAGAAGCAACGTTTTTAATTTTGAGTATATCACGTTAAAGTACTGATAATTAACTATTATTTGATATAAACTTCTACGTGCAAATTATGTTTCTACGAGAGACATCATTTTTAAGTTAGGCCTTCAAAGGGCATTTATAATACTAACGTGTTTTACAAACTATATATTCTTTTATCTAGTTCTATAAGATGATGTATTATATTATTACATTATACATTACATATAATAATATATATATTAGACTGGGCCAAAAAAATCAACTATTTTTTTTTTGAAAAGTAGGTATATCGAAAATATGGTTTGGGCGACAAA